ACATTGGGCAGCGGGCAGCCCCTGGGCCCTGGGCCGCACTGCCGGGGCCCTGACTAGGTCCAGCCCGGGCTCTGGTCGGCCTCCGCGTCTGCTCGGGGCTGCCGGGCAGACCAGGCTGGCCACTCGCGTCCCCAGTTTGCTCGGAGGATTCCGAACCAAGGGCGTGGAGGTCTCCGCCTTGGCTGATTCAGACCAAAACCCGCCGGTCACGGCCGCCGCGCAGCCCGCCCGGCACACACCGTTGTACTTGGTCTTGCCCCAGCCCGTGGTGGCGCACAGCGAGCCCGCGGGGAAGTCGTCCTGGGCGCTGGGCAGGCACACGGGGGACACGGTCTGCGAGAACTGGGCGGGCGTGGCCAGCTTCAGCAGGGTGATGTCGTTGCGCACCGTAAGCATGTTGAACTTGGGGTTCTTGAAAACCTGCAGGTGGGGACCAGCAGATGGCACAGTGGTTTTGCCGCTGGACTCCCACATAGTGGATTGCAACTCGAGTCCCAGACCCAGTGGCTTAAAACTCATGCTGAGGGCGTGCATGCCCCAAAGCCAGAAAGGAGAATGGAGAAGGGACTGAGGCATGGCCATCCCCGCTGAGGGGGGATTTCTCGCTTTCTGTCTCTGTCCCTCCTGCCAGTGTATGTGCCCTATAGCAAAAAACTCTAAATAAATAAATAAAAACCAAAAAAACCCAAACCTGACTTCTTGCACCTGTGGGTGACCAGGAGTCTGAATGGGAGGATCCCGGGACATGGCTTTTCCCTGCGGCCCCCCAGGAGCAACAGAACTTGGGCGCCCACAAGGAGGATCCTTTGCCACAGGGCTCCCCTCTCCTGCAGGGGGTGGGGTGGGGGGTGGTAATGTCTTCCCCCAGGGTCTTCCCCAACCCAGCTCCTCCACCGATGGCCGCAGGCCGGTACCTGGGCAATCTTCAGGACCTGGATGTTCTCCTCGTCGGAGCCCTGGTCGAACTCCCCGGCCACCACCACGTCAGTTGTCCTAGAGAGCAGGAGGGTGAGGACGAGAAGGCGTCACCCCGCCCCAGCCACCTGCCCCCAGGCTGCCGGCCCTCACTTGACCCCGCAGTGGGCGGCGGTGACCACCCAGTCCTCGCTGATGAGGGAGCCCCCGCAGAAGTGGAAGCCGGTCTTGTCCTGGGGAGGAAGATGGGGAGGGTCAGTCACTCCCACCTGGGCGCACCCCAAGGCTGGGCAGCCCCCAGGGTGTCCGCTTGGGCTCAGACGCCCCTCCTCACCTGCAGGGACACCTGCCAGGGCCAGGAGCCGGGGATGGCGTCCTCACCATTGACGATCCTGGACAGGCCGCTCAGCACGGGCTGGATGGCGGGGACGCCGCAGCCTGGGGGCGGTGAGAGGGGCGGGTGGGGACAAAGACCTGAGCCAACATGGGCCTCCCCTGCCCTCGCTGTGAGCCGCCCAGTTCCACCTCCTCCTGCCAGGCCCACACAGCCGCACACTGGTCCCGGCCAGCCACTCTGGAATCTTCCCTGCCTGGCCTCTCCACTCATCGCCCCCACTTGCAACCCGCTGGCTGAGGGACATGGCAGCCCCACCTGGGCTGGTTCTGCCTGAAGGAGCAGAAAGAGGCCCGGCCACAGCCTGGGCTCAACCCAAGGCCCACACTTTGCCACCCTGGGACCTGGGACCAGTCACAACTGCGGGGTCTCGGTTTCCTTCGCTGTAAAGTGGAGAGAACGAGGCTGACAGCTCAGTCACTGCTCAGTTGGTAGCTGTGGGGCCCGCCAGGATACTGCTGAGGGCAGCGTGGACTGTCGTGCTCACTCTGAAGTCTCTGTTTTTTTCTTATTTTAAACTTTTTAAAATTATTTAATTTAATTAATTATTTAACTTATTTTTAATTTGACCAAAGAGAGAAGAAAAGTAAGAAGTCTCCAGGTCCTTGGGGCCTGCAGGTGGCATGGTGGTTGAGGGTGTGGGACTCCCATATAGCTGACTGCGGTTTAAGTGCTTAACTTGCTTTCTCACTTTCTATCTTTCTTTCTTGCTCTGTCCCTCTCTAGTCAAATTAAAATAAATAAATAAATAAGTAAACAAACAAAATAAAACAAAAATGGAAGTCACCAGGTCCAGGACTCAAACCGTAGTCAGCCACGTGGAAGTCTAGGACCTTTACCACCACGCCACCTGCTATCCCCCCTAATGTGAGTTCTAAGCCACAGGGTCCGGGACTCGAACCATAATGGATTACGTGGGAGTCCAGCCATGTAATCATTATGCCATCCGCTGGTCCCAGGTTTGGCTTTCTTAATTATTTGATGAAACAAGACTTTGCTGCCACATGTTGAGGGCACCAGGAAGTAGAATGCAAACAGAGCAATGAGGAAAGACTCCCTGGGTCCCTGCCCAGACGAGGCCTGGGCGCCTGTGCTCTGGGTCCACTTATTGGGCAGAGGGTGCATGTGCCTACCAGACAGAGAGAGAGACAGAGAGCAGGACCCCAGTGGGGTCGGCCACACGGCAACCCTTTTTCCCCCATTTCTCCATCCCATCAGGATTTAGGGCACACAAGCACACGTGCTGGCTGGGCCCAGGACTCGAACTGTGAGCGGCCACGTGGGATCTGGCTCCCTGCACACTCGCCCACTGTGCTGTGGGCCAGCCCTGCAATCTGGGTTTACACTGGAGCAGGGACAGCCTACTCCTAGCCAGGCCACCTCCGGTACATTCGTCTCAGGCAGGCCCAGTGCTCGCCCCGTGCATGGACAGCAGATGGACGAGGCCCTTCTCTGAAGATCAGCGCGGCCAAAAATCAATCATCATAATGATCTGGTTTGGGGATGGCAAAAAATAAATAGAAGGGGGACCAGCAGTTGGCGTAATGGCTATGTCGCTGGACTCCCACGTAGTCAACAGCGATTCAAGTCCCGGACCCAGTGGCTTAAACTCACACCGGGCACGTGTGCATGCGTGCCCAAGACCCCAAGAGGAGAATGGAGGAAAAGGGATTGTGGCATGGCCATTGCCCCTGGGGATTTCTCGCTTTCTGTCTCTCTGTCTCTATCTGCCTTTCAGGCGAGCGCACGTGCCCTACAGCAAAAAATAAAAAGGAAAACCTCTCCAAAAAAAAAAGAGAGAGAGAAGAGAAAGGAGGAAAGGAAAGCCACACACACTGCCGTGGTCCCGCCAGAGCACGTCACTGCGACCCCGGCGCGTGAGCTGGGGCTGCACCCTGACCGGTGTCTAAACACGGCCTGAGTGGGCCGAGCTCGTGGCGAAGCTGACGCAGCATGACCGTGAGTTCTGGACGTTTGTGAACGGCCTACATATGACTTCGTAAACACGCAGTGCGCTTGTAAAACTCTGCAGCGCGTGTCAGAATAGGGTGCACCTCCCAGGGAGGGAAAGTTTTTTTTTAAGGAAGCTTCAGCCAAACCGGTTTTGTTTTAAAAAGAAATATATGGAGGACCAGCAGGTGGCGTGAAGGCTAAGGTGCCGGACACTCCCTTATGGCTGACCACAGTTCGAGTCCTGGACCTGGTGGCTTGCTTTCTCACTGTCACTCTTACACTCTCTCTCTCTCATTTCGTTCCTCTCTCTGGTCTAATTAAAATAAATAAAGTTAAATAAAATAATTCTTTTAAAAATAAATGTATATGTTAAGTAGATGAATTGCATAATATGTTATCACTAAATGGGAATATTCTTTTTTTAAGAAAGAGCCATTTTTAGTAGGCATTTATGACCCATTAAAGAATGCCTCTATGTTCTGACCAAATAGACAAAAGTCTACAGATTTGGAAACCCATCAGCCCAAATGTCAATCATCTTTTAAAATCAAATATATGACTCGAGGCCGACAGGTGGCATGGTGATTAGGGGCACTGAACTCCCACATGGCTGACGATGGTTCAAGTCCTGGACCTGGCGACTTGCTTTCTCACTTTCTCTTTCTGTCCCTCTCTGGTCAAATTAAAAAATAAGTAAATAAATCAATAAAGTTAAATAAAATAACTCAAAACAAACAAACAAACAAAAAAAACACTCCTCCTTTTTGCAAGCGTTCCAGCCCTAAAAGAAAAAAAAAAAAGAAATAAAAAGAAAGAAAGAAAGAAAGAAAGAAATACATGAAGCATATACATGTGCTTTTGCACAAAAACCTGCTAAATCCTAATGGTAGATGCCGTATTATTTTCGATATTTTCCACTATTTCTTTCTTAAATTTTTTTTTTTTTTTTTTTTTTTTTTTTTTTTTTTGTTTCTTTGTAAGTGGTTTTTTTTTTTTTTTTTTTTTTTTTTTCCTTTTCTATGTGTCTGAATTGTCTGAGCATGGTGCTTGGAATAAAGCCCGCAATATACATCCTGTTTGTGAGAGAGTGGTTTTTTTTTTTTTTTTTTTATGCTTTTGAAATTTTAG